CTGGCTAATTTTCTGTATTTTTAGTAGAGACAGGGTTTCACCATGTTAGCCAGGATGGTCTGGATCTCCTGACCTTGTGATCTGCCCGCCTCAGTCTCCCAAAGTGCTGGGATTACAGGCGTGAGCCACTGTGCCTGACCCTTTTTATGTATTTTTTAATACCATTTTACAGGACTGTGGTGTTGAGTAAAACATAGTTTGACAATGTTGCTTTTTAGGACAATTGTAGATATGCTATAAACTGTTAATTAACGTGTATATGTGAACAAAGAAACCAGTCTTTTGAGATGGATGTATAGTGCTGTGTTCCTGAGGTTGATATGCAAAGGGTACACTTTTTTGTTTTTACAGCTGTACTTTTTAGAGTCAAATGCAGTAAAACCTCAGAGTTGCCTTGCTTCCGCATTGAACTTCTCAGGAAATCCCTTATGTTACAAATGCTCTCTAGTCCAGAATAGTCATATGTGTATTTTACATATAAGAAACTAAAATAATTGTCTTTTTAAAGCTAAAACCTTCAATAGAAAAATTACAGGAAATCTAATATATTAATTTAGGAAATATTAGATTAGAAGCTGCTTATTTTTGCTAGCTATGCCATTTTACTTGATAAAAAGAGCAAGAATTGTGGCTTATGTAATAGTTCTAGAGACAAATAGCATGGAAAGTGAGGTCAGACAGTCTTCATGGTTTTTTTTTTTTTTTTTAATAACATTTATTTATTTATATGAAAAACTTACATTTATTTATATGAAAAATAAAGCTGAAAATTTGAGTATTCCAAAACAGTTTAATCTGATCTTTATGAGCGCTTTATATAGTTAATCTCAATGAATCCATCTTAGAGTAAACTTGCATTTAACTTTATTTCAAGTTATCATAAAAGTTCAGACAACTGTCATTGGACCTACAGACTGAGTGATTATTATAGTGGGGATGTCCTTGGGTTAGTAAGCCTAAAGGAAGTAATTTCTGTTAAAGGAGATATTAATGTCCGTTTGCATCTTAATGTCAATCTTATTAGATGTTCCCAGACTACAGATTGGGTGGGTCATATCTCTTATCATTTCAACTGGTATTTCTCAGAGCAACTAGTGGCTCATGTTCCAAATATAGAAGGCATTTACATAACATAAATGTTAGACCTGGGCTTGTTAGACTCTTGGGCTCATGTATACAAAAGCAATCACCCTAAACCTTTAGTTTAATCTTTGTTTTTCTGCTACCATGTTAAACTTTGAAATAATCAATTTTACTTGACTGCCTCCCTTCATATTTTGATGGAGTAGTTGGATCTTCCAAATTATGTTTAGTATTTATCATATTTTTTAAATGCTCTGCTTAATTAGGTATTTTTTATTTTTTTAAATATATGTTTTGGAAATCCATCGAGACTTAGGGCTCTTCTGAGTTCTTTAAAGTCTTAAATTATTAATGCTGTCTTCCATGAAAACCACACTTCAGAACATTTGTATATCAGCTGCCTAAATAATTAATAGTAAAGAGAAGCTTTGCTACCTGACTCTTCTACTACTTCCCTTTAAAAAGAGATATTTATTAGAATATTTTCTGGCTTGCTAGATACTCCTTTTTATCACATTTATATCCTATTTATAGTTATATACCCTGTTTTTTATATTTGTGTACACACTCATATATATATATTATGTATAAAATTTGGTTTTTACTTTTGAAAAAAGAATCCAGCATGTTTTTGGTGTGTGTTGAAAAAGATTCCAGTTAACGGTTATTAGAGAGAAAGCTTTATGTTGTGCTAATTATGTTACTCGAGTCTGTGAAAGATAAATTTTGTTTTGCCAGGTATCTTTTTCTCTGAGTAAATTTATGTTTATTATGATAATAGTAAATTAGAGCTGCATGATTCTACTTGACATGTGGATTATGGTAATTTTTTTTTTTTTTTTTCCAAAATTTCTAGATGAAGCGTACTGTCAGCCACCCTGGTTCTTGCAGTTCAGAGAGGTAAAAGAACCTTTTCTTTTGATTAAGTTCTCTCAAACTATACGCATTTAGGGAAGTTCTCTGGGCCTTTAACAAGTGGTGTGGAATGTAAACTCTGTATGGGTTAGGTCTGATTCTGAAACCAGCATTTTCTCTCTCTGTATTTATCTCCTAGTATTTAGTATAAGGGCCTGGCCTCAGTAGGTAGTCATAAAAAAAAATGAATTAATTAATTAACCAGCAAGGTAAGCACCTTGCCAGCCATTTTACCTTTTTTAGATGTTTGAAATACAGTCATATATTGAAGAATGACTTTTCCATCAATGATAGACTGCATATGTGACAGTGGCCTCATAAGATTATAATACCATATTTTTACTGTACTTTTTCCATGTTTAGGTATGTTTAGATACACATGTACCATTGTGTTACAGTCACCCACAGCATTCAGTACAGTAACATGCAGTACAAGTTTGTAGCCTAGGAATAATAGGCTATACCACATTGCCTACGTGTGTAGTAGGCTATACTAGCTAGCTTTGTGTAAGCACACTCTGTGATGTTTGCACAGTGACAGAATCACCTAGTGATACATTTCTCAGAATGCATCCTTGTCATTAAGAGACGCATGACTGTATATCAAGTTATAGTTAGACAGAAGTACATTTTTGATGTATTAAGACTCCACAGCTGGGGCTCATTTTACCTCAACTGTTTATAGCATCATCTATTCATGCTGAGCTGTTATTTCATTAAGAGAAAAAGATCTTGCTGAAAAGAGAAACCACTTGATATTTTAAAGTACCTATTCATATCAATACATTAAAAAATCTTACCTTCTGGATAGATCTTACCAAAATACTAAGTTGTTAAACTATTATTTTGTTAGGTAATAGTCCTTTAAGTTGCTATGATTGTCTTATTTGGTTCTTTGGAAAGTGATTTAATTATAGTGACATTAGCATTTATTTCTCTATATTTGCACTGTTAAATGCTGGGCCCTTATTGTTTTGTCATGTTTTATTTTTTTCCCCTGATGATTATATAATCTTTGATTAAACCGTCAAATACTCAGAGGAGTCCAATGATGTATATGCCCAACTTTGTCAGGGAATCAAGAGTCCCACCAACTGAATTTTCCAGAAAAATAGAAGCTTAATCAACTTTTATTTTTATGAAAGAAAGTTTCCTATCCTTTCTACTTCACAAAATAATAATTTTAAAATCTTATTTGTTTCCTGATGAATCAAGGTTGTCATTAAGTACAGTAATGTTGGGCTGTTACAAAAATAGTAGCGGAGGTGCTATTAGGTGGTGGTGATTTGCTTCTCTGTTTAATTTTTTGAGACAGATTTTTAAAAAAGTTTTTCTAGGCCCCTTTTTGCCATCTTTATCTTCTCTTGCTGTTGTGAGTGAGTCTACCTCTAGCTCTATGAACTCCTTGCCCATTTCTTTCAGTCTGCTGGTTTTGGTCAGATATGGATTGACTTGAAATACATGCACTAATGAAACCTATAACTTTTAGTTTTCAAACATTTGTAAACCGACTGATATGTCTGCTCTCTGGAGTCTCCCCTACAGAAGTCACTACTTCTTCATTATACCCCTCTTCCTTTTATTTCAGCTCAGAAGCCATATTCTTCAGGTTACCAGCTGTCTTCTAAATGGGTTCACTTGTTTTTGACTTCTGAGTAGAATGTTGCTAACATGGGACGTTGAGCATAAAAATAGTTCTTTTTTCACTTAAAGAGAAGTCATTTAAAATTCCAGTCAAGGGTGTTTTTATTTATGTAAGGCCTTACAATTTAATGCTTTTTATTTAATTTGCAGGAGTAGCCACTCTATAAAAGAACCAGTATCTACACTTCACCGACTCTCCCAGCGACGCCGAAGAACCTACTCAGATACAGATTCTTGTAATGATATTCCTCTTGAAGACCCAGATAGTAAGTGGCATAGGTTCTGTCTCTTTCTTTGGCATATTCAGCAAAATTACTGTGGGACTCTGTAATTTCTGAAAATGAAGTATACTGACATTGAACATTGTACTTTGTTTCTTTGATTGATTCCTTCATTCAGAGGTAAGCAAACAGCGCTCAATCAATGAAAACTCATATATCCTCTTACAAACAGGTTTGTTATTAACTAAGGAGTGCTGAGGATTGCTTTGTAAATATCGTATCTTAGATATATATTTATAGAATATCATGATCTTTTACCACCACTATACTTGCACTTAAAAAACATTTCAGAAGAAGGCATGAATTGTTAGCAGGATTCTAGGGGAAAATAAAGGCAAGTTCCAAGTTCATATAAAAGTCAGCATTGTTACTTTACTAAAATACCTTGAAATGGCTAAGGAAAAGAATTTTGTCTGGTAGTCATGGTGAATTATAGTAGCATTCATTCCTGTACCTTTTTCTTATTAAAGAGGCAGCATACTGTGATTGAATGTTTTTGGGAAAAGTTTTGTGATTTATGTTAAAAATTTTAAATTTTTCTCTTCAGAGAAGAAGCTTTGAAACTGTGTCAGAATATCTAGTAAGATAGTAGTGACCATGATTTGCAGTGAACACAAATATAGTCTTATTATTACATCTCTATTAATAGACTTCTACTCTCCAAGTCTTTACTATTTCTCAGGAAACATGTGGGATAGAAACTATGTACAATTTCCAATTAAGGAACAGGTTGTGTTCCAGTAGTTCATTTGTAAGTCAGTTGTTTGGAAAACAGATTTTATTTTTCTTGTGGAACTGACATGATAAGTGGTGGTTAGCTCTTTGAATAGCCTAGAAGAACCCAGTGAATTCATAGTATGGCTGAAATGGGACAAAACAATGGTGTATTTCTAGCATTTGAGTGTATTGAAAACATTGATTAAGCTGGAGTTGTTTTATGTAACCAGAAAGTTAAACAGGTTTAGTTCACACACATGGCAATTTTAAAAAGGATTGCTGGTCATTTTTGGATTTTTAGGAGTGATAGCATCTGTTTTTTTGTTTTCTTTTTTAATGCTCACTTTTTTTTTAACCGAACTAATCATCTATTTATTAATATATGGCACTATTCTATGCTCATTAACATTTTGAATTTAAATTGAGATATGGGTAGAGAAATTAAGGAAGGAAACCGGGAAGGGGAAGGGAGAAAGAAACTTTCTTGGGCCAATCAAACAAGACCTGGAAGAGAAGAGGAGGAGAGAAGGAGGGTTAAAGAGGTTGAGTATGTGAAAAAAGTGTTATCTGAGGCAGGTAAGATAGATTCTGATTCTCTTTATTCTTTATGCCTTTTACACATGACTCTTAATCCAGAGTTCATGAAGGAGTTCTGTATGTTACCTTGTACTTTTAAGTGTGACTTTTTTTTTTTTTTTTAAGAGGCTCATTTGTGATTACTAAAATAACTTTTTTAAAGTCATCCATTTTTCTTCAGAATTCTTTTCTTCTCGTTACCCTAGTCCTGAATATTTGAAAACAATTTTCAAAAGATCTAGGTGTACATGCTCATTGTATTTAGCATCCCCCAGTTTAACTGTTATGGACTGTAACAAAACTAGTCACACACACACACACGTATATACATGCATACATATAGTTCACTTCTCTAGAACATCTTTAAATTAGCAAGTATAGACTAGGTCAGAAATTTTATCCTTAGAGTTTTTCCTGTTTATACTAGTTTAGTGTTTCAGTTAGCTGACAAAGCAAAGATTGAATTAGTGCTCCTTCTAGAAAGTATATATTTTGCAGTTGGCAGTTTTGGTTGAAAGTTGTTACTCAAAAATATTCTTCTTGTGAGATGCAACTGTTTCTATTTTTCTAAACAAGCTTTTTCAAAAAGTATGAAAGTAATAAATGATGATGGTAAACTCAAACAATGTGTATAAAGGTACAACTGCCTTAGAACAGGACTATGCCAGTGTAGTCAGCTGTGTTAACATGGAGCTGCAGTGATAGTTCTGTGAGCTGCATTACAAATGGAGAAATGGGATCTTTCAGAGTGAGGTATCTTGTCAGCTTTGCTCAGAAAGTCTTAGAATGAAAAGAGGAATACCTGAATTTAGTCCTCGTTCTGTTACCAATTGTGTGATGTTGGGTAAGGCGTGTATCCTTTTATGGGTCTTGGTTTGTTTGCCTAGGAACAAGGAGGATATTAACAGCATTAAAATAGGCTGAAAGAACAATATTTAATTAATAAAGATTAAATTCAATTAAGCAGATATTTATTGACTGCTTGTTATGTGCCAACCATGATTCTAGCAATGAACAAAACAAAAATCTCTACTTCAGGCAGTTTTGTCATTTATCCCATGAATTCTGATGTTTTTCCTTTTGACTGTTGATACTCTACTCTAAAAGTTAAGTTTTCCTGTATGAAACAAACAAAGAAATAAAAAATTAGCAGGAAGCTAAAGGAATTTCATGTCCCTGAATAGGAAATTTAAAATGTTCTTTCACGGAGGACTGGAGTTAATATTGACAGGATGTTTAATGTTTTTACCAATATCTTCATAGGACCTGTTCACTGTTCAAAAAATACACTTAATGGAGATTTGGCATCAGCAACCATTCCTGAAGAAAGCAGACTTATGGCCAAAAAAAAATCTGAATCGGAAGATACTCTTCCATCCCTCTCTTCCTGAAGAAACTGAAGTGTCCAACTTCCTCTAAGTATTGCTATGCAAAAGCTGCTGTAATTAAACTATTGTTATAGGGAGTAGTTTTTTCCCTTAGGACTCTGCACTTTATAGAATATTGTAAAACAGACAAGAAAACAAACCACATACTTTTGAAGTGTATTTTATCTTTATATAGTTTGTTTGCAAGAGTATTTTCCTAATAACTCACAGTATGAATGTGCATCGTTTTTTTTTTTTTTTTAAACATGATGGTGTAACATTTTGACATCCATAAGGACAAATGTAGATATTTTTCTAAAAAACTGTGAGAGGAATGACAGCTTGGTCAGGGTGTATTGTAGCTTATAAACATGAAATCTTATAAGGTTTCAGTTTGACAGAAGTGTGATATATGTAACTTGTGCCATGGACCAAATGGTCACTTTACCACAGCTAAAAATGAGTTACGATAGCAGCTTGATGGTGATTGTATTATATTCCTTTAATCAAAAAGGAAACACAATATTTTAAGTATCTTTAGCCCAATTACCATGACATATTGAGCATCTTTAACCAGACTGTATTGTCCTTCATATGTGAAGTTGACACTACTGATTTGTCATTCCAAATGTTGGGTTAAAGTGTTTAATTTTTATTTATTTTCTTGTTGCCTCAAAAGATGATTGCATTCTAACTTTTGTGACCTACCAAATTTAAGATGTGTATACGTTGTTCTTTACATTGTTCTAGAAAAGAGATTTTAATGCTATAGTGACTTTGCTCACTTACACCAGAGAAATAAACAACTTTCAATGGAAGAGGATTTTAGTGCTTTTTTTTTTCCTAAAATAGACATTAAGCTGCTGTTGTAAAGTATTGTTTGCAGCTCTTTCCAATGTCTAGAGACATTTTTATTTATGAATATTTATACAAAAAGGAATTCTGTCAAGATGACTGCTCTATATCACTTGAGAATGGCATTATTTAATTAAAGAACAAATAGCATTTTTTGGTAGTGCCTGTCTATACCTATTGTCATTGTTTGCCTTGTAATCGGTTGTTTTGAATTCACTTTGGGTTAATAGTTTTTTTTAAGGTTTTGGTGAAGGAGCACTTTAAAACAAACTGGTGTGTTGTTTTTAAGTTAATCATATGTTTAATAAATGTGTGGTTTTTGCATTCAAACACATCATATAATACATTGTATTTTTTATATTCATTGATATTCTGTCTAATCTTTATTAGGCACTAATATAATTCTAATGGATTTGAGTTTGTATATTTAGGCCTGCTGGTGAAGACACAAATGATTGCTTTTAGTTTTTGTTGCCTGTGAGCTTAGAATGGTGTGGCCTATTTCATTTTATTTCAATTCCTCTTGTAAGTTTATGTGGGATATTTAAAAATAATTAATATTTGGTATTTATTTAAAAAACTGTAATTATAGGCCTTCCATCTTAAGTTTAAAATGGACATAAACAGTCTATACATTAATATGTGTTTGGGTAAACTCTATGCTACTTAAAGTGTTTGTAATTTTAAATAGCACACAGGTCATCAGACTACTTTATATTCAGTGGAGTCTTTTCCTGCTCGTGAGTTGTACTTCATATGTCTAATTTGAAAAAAAAAGTTTGATAATGTAGTAAGTTATAATGTTGAGCAGGTAATCAAGTTTTTTATTATTATTATTATTATTTTTTATTTTGTAGTAAGAGCTTTCACAGTGTTAAGACCATGAAGGTCAGGGTGCTATTGATCGGGAGTTTTTTCTGGTAGTGAGTTTTTTTGAAGTAATAGGTTTATAATGAAAACACCATAACAAGCTTTTGAACTTATAGAAAACAGTCACAGCCATTTTCTATTGCTTTATCCAAATAGATGGGTTCGTGAAGAGTTTTCTGTAAATATTTTTAAAACACAATGCAATTATTTCTTGTTTGTATCATTTTTTCCCCCTTGAAACAGGTCCTTGAACAGGTTTGCAGTATCCCTAAGTATGTCTTTTGTTATGAGTTGGAGCCACTTTTTGTTGTTATTGTTAGGAACCAAAAACATATGTGAAATCATTTATTTTGTGGGAGTATAAATATATCTTGAATCATATCCAGGTTTTGATCAGTGAATTAGTAGCATGAAGAAACCTATAAAGCTTAAGGGAACCTTGCATTTTGAGGAGTCCTTTATTTTCCAGTGTGCCTTTTTTGAACTTTAAGAAAAAGATGAACCAAATAACAATTCTGTAAGAATTTTAGCTTGTCAAGTTGTTCTATACTTTATAGAACAATTATTGGTTATTATTAGTTATTAGTAGTCCCTTTTTTGCTTTGTCTAGGTCATGGGGTTATTGAAAAACATGAAAAGTTGTTGAGAAATTTGGAGGTTCTCTTGGCAGCGTATCAGTGATCTTCTAAGCAAAAGCAGTGCTTGTTTTTCATTTCAAGTGCTTGCTCACTATTCTTTGGGAATCACAGGCCTCCATGGCTAAAGGGATTTTGATACAATTCTTTTATAAATGAGCTGAATTTGAATTTTCTTACATCATATGGGATTATGGCATGATCTTCAGTCAGGAAGAGTCCAGAAATGGATGCTATTGCTTAAACTTAAATTCCAAGGCAGGAGATAGAGTATCTTTATTTCCACAGATGCCCTGGAACCTTTGACCTTTGACCTTGAATTGTAGTTTTTCAGTATGTATTATCACGTTTAGAAATTTAAAAATCATAACAAGATCTCAAGAAATATGTCCTTGTAATATGTTAATACCAGACTGCTGTTTAGACTAGTTCCATATACATGATAATACCATTAATTTGGACTCCGCTAGTTCTTTTATTTAATGAGGTCTGTACTTTGAGCCTTGCTCTGGCTACTTGGTGCAGAGGGAGTGTCCTGGCCTGAAAGAAAGCCACATGAGGCTGCAGGAGCTCCTTTGAGGAGGTCTCTCTTTTAATAACCCTGGCGGGTAAATGAATGGTAGGTAGCTGGTAGATAGGCCTTCTTGTTCATGTCTTTCTGTCTCCTCAATCCTCTCTTTGAATTCATGTTGAATTCTTAACTTGAAATTCTGTTTTTTTTTTTTTTTTTCCATTTTAGCTTTCTTTTTATTAAACTAATTAATGTACATAGTTTGAAAAAATCAAATAGAACTAAAAGGTTTATAGTGAAAAAGTTTAGTTCCCTCTTCCCCAATTTAGCATTCCAAAGACAAACACTTGGAACTCTTAGTGGTTTGTGTTAGTATTTACCTTCCTGTTTGAAAATGTTATACCACTTTTTCTTGATTTACCAATTTCAGAAATAGTTTCTCGAATGCCTTTTATGGTAGACAGGATTTACTTAACTTAAAATCTCCACCTCCCCATTTTTCTTCCCCCACCCCTCCCAAAATAGATTTATATTCACACAACTTCTTGTTAGAACAAACTTTTTGTTAAATAGACATAAATGTAGTTCACTGATGTACCACATGGTTAACTATCGTTATTTCCTTTTTACTAGAATGTTATTTTTTCTGGGGTTGGTATTGCCTGATTTTCAAATTTGCTTAGTTTTTAATGTACCCGTCACAATGACTATCCAAAAGACTTAAATGCTGAAAAATATCAGATAATCTATCAATTCCCTTTATTTAAAAAAGTTTTCAAAAATATTTTGTCATCCTTTAGGGACATTTCTTCCACAGTCCTTCATCTTCTGCCATTTGTACTGTTGCCCTCCAGGACTGTTCCATGGTTCAGCTGTCATTCTGAAACTCCCTTTGTTTTTTAGTCTCACATTAGATCTTCCATTGTGGATCTTGTAACTTATTTCTAGATTTACTGCCTTTTTCCTTTTTTTTTTTTTTTGGCAAAGCTCCTTCACCAGTAACTTCCCAAGAAAAGATGCATAGAAAGTAAAGATTTTAAGGCTTTACAGGTCTGAAAATGTCTCTACTCTTGATTGGTAGTTTGGAGTCTGAAAAATAACATTCCCTCAGAATTGTAAAGGCAACACTTCATTCTCTTAAGGCGTTTAATTTTTCTGTGAGAATTCTGATACCGTTCCTTTCCCTGGGATCTGTTTTTACACTCTGCAAGCTTTTAGGAACTTCTCATTACTTCTGATGTTTCATAATGATATGTGAATCTTTATTCATTCATCTTAATGGGCACGTGGTGGAATCTTTCAATTTAGAGATTTGTCTGCTTCAGTTTTGGGTTTGTGTGTGTGTGTGTGTGTATTATCTTTTTGACAATTTTCTCTCTTTCATTTTGTTTGTTCTATCTTTCTAGAATTTCTGTTATTTGAATGCTGGACCTCCTCTAAATTAAAAAAGCTTTTTCTCTCTAATTGTTCCTTAAGTTATATTATCTTTGTTCTTTGTTATCCTCCAGCTCTTCTGTTGAATTTTCTTTATATATATTTTAATTTCTAAGAGGTCTTTTTTCTGTTTCATTTCATAAAAACCTATTTTTATTTTATAGATTAAATGTTTCCCCGTATCTCCCTGAGGATAAAATTAAGATTTTTTTCTTACATCTTTCCTGTTTCTTGAATGGTTCTCCTCCTCCCCCGCCATGTTTCTATTTTCTCTTTGTTTTGGGCTCTTTCATTCTGAAGCCTTTCTTAGAGATCATCTATTCATATTAGTCATGTTTTAAAAAGCTAATGTCATAGGTCTTTATGTGTGGGCAGGGTTTATAAGTTGTCTAAAGGGCCATCAGGTAGAGAGTTGTTGGCCTTTTCTGTTGAGGTCCCCTAAATTTCAGTGGAGGTCTTCTCTTTGGGGCCAGTTTCTCTAGAAAACTGGGTCCTGGTAGTAGGGTAAGAAAAGGACAGCTGAGGTTTGTATGATGACTTTTGCTTAATCCTTCTATCTTCAGCCTCTCTCAGGCGCATCCGGCCCCACCCTGCAAATCCTCCTCTGGCTGCTGACCCTCAGGTTCAGTTTTTCCTGTCAGTGGAGGTTGAGGGTGGCGGGTAGGCTGGCTGTGGAGAGTCAGGGAGAGGACCTGGGTTCCAGTTGTTCTTTATACAGACTTCTAGTCCTGATTTCAGCTCTATACCTCACTCTCATCTTCGACAATACCTAGTGCTTCCAACTCCTGAACTTAGTAGAGGTTTGGTGGAGTGTGTTTTTTGGTTTCTCCCTTTTGGGTACTTAGGCTTTAACTTCCTCCACTCTGCTAGGTTAGGTATCACACTTCCTCCTGGTTTTTATCTGTATAAACTTTGTTAAAATCTCATGGCTTTGTAGTCTGTTCTCTTTATGGTTTAATACCATTTATATTCCTTTAATGTCTTTTTGGTGGTTTGGAGGTAGAGGAAATAAATTCATGTGGTTGGTTTGTGTGTTTCACTGGAGTCTAGATTTAAATTCTAATAGTATATAGAAAATAAAAATTCTTTAGTATTAATTTATAATTCATTCTAGTTATTTTTAATTCATATGGTTTTACTGTACTACCTACCTCATAGGGTTGTGAGGATTAGAAGAATCAATTCATAAAAAGCAGTTAGAAAAGTGCCAGGCACATAGTGTATTGAGTAAGTGTTAGCTATTAATATTGTTTACTATCATTATTATTATTACTACTATCACATTTTTTTTTTCTGAGACAGAGTCTCACTCTTTCACCCAAGCTGGAGTGTAGTGGCGTGATCTCAGCTCACTGCAGTCTCCACCTCCCAGGCTTAAACAATCCTCTTACCTCAGCCTCCTGAATTACTAGGACTACAGGCATGCACCACCACTCCTGGCTAATTTTTGTATTTTTTTGTAGCAGCAGGGTTTTGCCATGCTGTCCAGGCTGGTCTCAAACTCCTGGGCTTAAGGGATCTGCCTGCCTTGACTTTTCAAAGTTCTGGGATTACAGGGATGAGCCACTGCACTCTGCTATCTCTCTCAATTCAGTAACCTGTTTATTCTTGAGTGAAAATGTTTCACCATAAGAAGAATTATTAATATATGGGAAAATCTAGTGTTCAATAATGTTGACCCTACATTTTTTTTTTGAACAGTCTCACTCTGTCGCCCAGGCTGGAGTGCAGTGGCGTGATCTCGGCTCACTGCAACTTCCACCTCCTGGGTTCAAGCAATTCTCTTGTCTCAGCCTCCTAGGCTACAGGCTAGGTCTACAGGTGCATGCTACCACGCCTAGCTAATTTTTGTATTTTTAGTAGAGATGGGGTTTCATCATATTAGGCTGGTCTTGAACTCCTGACCTCAGGTGA